CCTTATTAAACTGGAGTTTTTGCGGTCCTTAAAAAATTCTTCCACTAAATCGAGTAAGAATTAGAGACACGTTGCAAAAACCAGATGCTAGTTCTCATAAGTGGCTATTTAATCAAATGCCAACCAGTTCTTGTTATTTAAATCCCGTGGGGTTCTGGCTTTATGCAATATTTCTCGCTTTAAGGTCGTTTTCCAAGCATCGCGCCAGTGATTTGCTACTACGAGGGCAAGTGTTCTTCCAAGATATATTGATAGGCCCTGACGGCTCTGATATTAAGGTATATTGTCGTATCTGAATTCGCAATGTAATAGCGTGTTGTTTGAATTAGTGTTGGATAAGGGGGTCATTCATAATTTCTCTCAGTTTACGCTGCTGCTGGTTTATACTTCATTATCATTCCTTATTCATCAAGCTGCATTAAACGACGCGAGGTGATAGAATTCCACGATTGGCTTGAATAGCTAACATAACAGCTCATTGTGAAGTCTTCGATGAAATTTTGTCAAAATGTGATTGATGGCGGGGATGTTAGCAAATAGTGTAATTTTTTGACAATTATAATTAGGATACTTAAAAGCTAAACAGAAAATGTATTGTTTCAACAAATTCTGTTCTTTCTTGGCTAAATTAAAACATTTTGGACAGTCAGAAAGAAAATGCTCTGACTTACATTTCGGACATTTATAAGGTTTGTTTGATTTAGACTTATCACCCTTTGATGGCTAAAGGACGGGATCAACCATTACACGAAGGACGGGGAGAAACGAGCGCACTTTAACCGTCGTTAAAATTCGTCCGGTGAGAGTTTACAAACACGAATGGGTCGTGGCACACGTGCGCTGCGCAATGACGTTGTAACGTCCGTTACGCGACGCTCGTGTGCCCACAGCCAAGGTCCTGTCTGTTAATGTCGGAGGAATGTCATGAAAGATTCAAAACTGGGGAGATTTTCACGTTCTAAAGAAATATACTATTCCCTGAATATTTTCTGTGGGAGTTCTTGTGTAACAAGTTCACCTAATAATAAATATGATAAATCGGTCTCTCCTTTGGGTGCTTATAAAGAGCTAATGTGAAGATTATAGACATAATTTCTTTTTTCTTTAAAGTTCTAAAAAAGGCGACCAATCTCTGAGTATACTCTGTGAGAATCCATTAGTAACAAGTGCAACTAGTAATAAATCTGATAAAACTGTCTCCTCTTTGAGTGCTTGCAAAGCGTTAATATGAAGATTATAAAAATCAATTTTTTGTAAAGAGCACGGAGTCAGCTGTGGTGGGCTTGATGTTAAACGTGTGACCCAATTACTATGGGTCAATGAAATATATTTTTAACATTTCCCATGCTATTAAGAAATTAAAATGGGATACTTGAAAATTATTGACAATTTCCTAAGCATCATATTTAAGAAATTCTAATAAATAGCAAAACTTGACTGAGGCAGCCGTGTTTGCTGCATCTATTACGGCATTTCGAAAAGTATCCCTCAATTTTGACGATTCTAAGATGATGAAACTGGACAGAGGTAAATTCATTTCGGGCATTTTAATGTAAAAGAGCCTTGTGTAGTAGCTACTGATGCACAAGAAGGACGAGAAGTTGAATACTCAGGATTTAAATGTTTAAAATGTGTAATGACAATTTTAGCCTTTGAGCTAACTTTAACGTATTTTCCAAAAGGTTTCTCGGTGAAGGTGAATAATTTATATTTTTTAACACGCCGTGCGCGAAACAGCTATTTTTTTCACACTGTGCGAAGCATCGCGAAGCGTGTGCGAAACATCAGTAACAATTCGCAATTGTCTTTCGTCTTGAAGACACCTTTGTTTATTATTTACGAACAAAAATGTTACGACACTGACTGGAATCCGTTTACTTATGTACAAGTAAGGTATTTCTAGTTATTTGATATATAATTCACGTTACTTTGCTTGCATTGCGTTTCGCTCACGGCGTGTAAAAAAATAGTATACGCAACATGGGCGCGAGGTGATTCTCGCACTCGTCTCTTTATCGCTACGCTAGGAGGACACACTAGAGTCGTGCGTGAACCACCAGTTTCGCGCTCTTGATACGTAAACTATTTCACCATCCAGTCCAATAATTAAATGCTGCGCCTTTTCATAAAAGCTTTTTTATTTGTTACTTCTAATTCTTAGCTCCTGATAAGGAGAACAATCAAGTTCATTATAATCTTGCAATAAGACCTCAATGGCTTTGCACAAGAAGGCAAGCACTGTTTTAAATTGTTTTCGTGTTTTTGAAAAAACATTATAAATAATTATAAATGGCGTCACACAGGCAAGAGAACAAAGAACTACACACAAAATAAAAAAAATCACTGTTGCACTTCACAACACAAAATAGCACTGTTGCACAATCACTACACATCAAACAATTGCGAGGGCACTTAACCACGCAATGGCGAGGGCACTTTCATTCTTATGTTTGCCCCAGAGCGAAAAAGGTCAGATATGTCCAGCTGGAGAGCCATGTTCAATACTGCAGATATCAGCTGATGCATCTCAGAAATCGTGATAATGGAGCAAACAATATCACTAAATTAGCATACAGTTTTACATGTTAAGTTTAAATTGTCGTTCAAAGGCACATGGACAATTATTATTTGAACAGAGCACCTTTAATAGTTTAAGACTAATACTTGCTTGCAAATAAAATTTTAATGAATACTGAATATTTAATAAAATCAAACGAGGTAACACTTAGAGACAATTAATAACAACGTCAATAATATAATTTAAGAAATTACAAAACACAAAATATATGACCACTGAAATTGTTTACTTTTAAATATAAAATAAGTGAATCTTTAACATTGTATATGTTTTAATTATGATTGCATTCAGTATTGTGTACGGAGGCAGATTGATAAGTCCGTGACTTTGACAATAGTTCGCGACTATTTAGCAGGTTCTTTGTTTGCACTGAAGTCTTACGTCCATTTTAGGAAACCTCGCATGCTATTGTTGCCATCTGCTCGTTAGATCATTATTGAGAGAGTCCGAAAACAGAAGGTGTGAGTTGCTTTGTGAAAGTGGAGAAAAGTGAATTTCGAGTATTGATCTAACACTATTTATTGGGAAAAATTTAAATGAACCGGAAGAGAAGTTGAGAAAGTATTATGGGGACACTGCTCCGCCACATGGTATGGTCCTCAAGTGGCTCACAGAATTTCGATGTGGTCGTTTGAGAACAAGTGATGCAGAGCGTCCAGCCGGTTGAGGTCACAAATTAAGAAATTGTGAACAGAATTCACGATATTGTGATGGTAGAACGCCGAAGTAAAGTAAGGGAAATAGTTGAGATTATAAACATTTCGTAAGAACGAGTGAGCAACAATCTACACGAACATTTGGATATGAGAAAGCTGTCGGCAAGATGGGTGCCGCGACTGCACACGATTGACAACAAGTGAAATCGTGTGACCATATCACAGGAGTGTTTGAACATGTTCAAGCGTAATCCAAATGAGGCGTTATGTAACAGTTGATGAAACGTAGATCCATTATTTTCAACCCGAGACCAAACAACAATCCAAGCAGTGGATTTGTTCTCACGAATGTGCTCCAAAATAGGCGAAAACAGTTCCGTCGGCAGGAAAAGTCATGGCGACTGTTTTCTGGGATTCGCAAGGTATAATATTAAATGACAACTTGGAAAAGAACAAAATAATAACAGGTTTATATTACGCCGCATTACTGGATCGTTTTCGCAAGGAAATGTGAAGGAAGAACCGACCACATCTTGCGAAGAAAAAGGTTCTCTTTCACCAAGACAATGCGCCCGCGCACGTCTGCTGTTGCCATGGCAAAATTTGCGGAACTGCGCTACGTTTACCTCACCCACTCTATTCCCCACATTTAGCTCCAAGTGACTTTTTTTCTTTTCGGAAACCTGAAGAAATGGTTTGGTAGGAAGAAATCCATGTGCAATGAACACATCATGGAAGCAAAAAATCAATATTTTGCAGACTTTGAAAAATCATATTTTTGGAAGGTTTAAAAAAATATAAAAACGTTGGGGATGGTGTATTGAGTTAAAAGGATACTATGTTGAGAAATAAAGTTGAATTTTGTAAAAAATATATTTTCTGCTTTAAAAAATCACGGACTTTTCAATCTACCCTCGTATACTCATATGCTTCAGTTATGAGCGCTGCTTAAATTCTAATCCCATACTAATTTGAGGACTGTGTTGTAGTTTGCATTTTCTTTTGATATCATGACTTATTCATGATAATTAATGACGTATTCAATTTAACTTTGATTTACAATTTCATAACTACTTGGATGACTGATTGTTATTTAATTTTAAAATATAATGATTAATGATTTCAACTGAGTAACACTTTGTACATTATATTTAATTTCATCTCTAAAAGTGTGTGTTTTTGGTGATGACACCTATTTAAGTGATCCTTTTCATCCTCCTTTAAATTTAAATTTTACTATTGAGCCGTTTGAAGGACAGAGATTGTCTGGACAAATATACAGTCCAAACAACAAATGAGCAAAATATTCTGATCTATTTTCAGTTTTTACATTGGCCATATCTCTTTCACCATTTCCGTCCCTCTTTCTTGCCATTAAATTACTTAATACTATTTACATCTTAACCATCATGTAAACTACATATTTCTTTCGAAATCCAGCCCCCTTCCTTCATTTCTCAAAAATACAAGAATGTACAAAATATACAATATAGTTCAAAAATATAATCCAATATGTCCAAATTATAAATAAATGTAGAACACTACAACAAATAAATGTCTTCCATTGTCATCTCTTTCCCTACTTGTCCATTCCCTGATCACTCTCTTCTCTCTTGCTTCACACTATCTCTTTGAAACTTCATTGATATTCTGCCAAATACATACTTTAACCCGCAGACACTTCACCATCTTGTCTTTGCCTGCATACTTCATACAACTTGCCTGCTTTGCTTCATACAACGTCCCCTTGTGGCAGCGACTCTAACCATCCGTCTTGTTCTCTTCTCTGGCCACCACCGTCCATATTTTCCACAGTAGCAGCAGTTCCTAGAAAGACAAAAAAAAATAAATGATACGTCCAACAAATTTGCAAAACCCAGCCACGCTTCTAAGACTTCTTTTAACATCTTTTATTCTTTTTGTATACTATATGTATTGTTTATCCCTTCCACAATATATGTGTTACATGATATAATGTGCAACAGTTCTACATATTTTATTTTTTTAATCATTATTTTAACATCTTCACCAACCATTATCTTCTCTTCTAACTTATCAATTTCTTTCCCGATATTCCAGTCCAATGGTACTAAACAAGGTTAAAGAGCAGATGGTTTTGAAGTAGTTTTGAAATCCTTCTCCCGTTCTACTCTTGAGTAGATCAGCTCCACATGCTGTGCTGAATAGTGAACAGGTAACAGGAATTTTCGATATACGATCAGGTTGCCCAGACGTCCTTCCCATCTATTGCAATACTTCAGGGAAAATACAAAACCTGTCTTCGCGAGGGAGAAATTGCATTGTTATACACCGCAGTTCAAAGCGGAGAGACAAGTATACTCGTACACTTTAGCAACTACTTTCCCGGCGCTCTTGCGGCTAAGTGGTTGATCGGAGACAAAAACGTAAAAGCAGAAAAGTAGATAGATTTTGTCTTTCATTTTACATTAGATCAAAATTTACGAAAAAGGAAGTTTGTTTGAGGCATTTTGGGATGAGTTGGATAATTCCCGTTATTACATTTCTTTGTTTAGAACTCAAATTTCCCAGTTTTGTCGTTGCAACGCAGGTGGGAGTGATCTGGTCGGGGAAAATCGACACAAGCCCTTTTAGGTCGGTGCCGGATCTCGCCAGCCAGCGCGAGGGAAGATTATCGCCGGCTCCCCCGATAGAGGCCTTAGCAGTTGACGCGCCGGGAATCACTCATCAATGAATGAACGGGGCGGCCTGACGAATGAGTGGCCTGGCGAATGCGCGGCCTAACGAACGGGCGGCCTAACGAACGGGTGGCCTAACGAACGGGTGGCCTAACGAACGGGTGGCCTAACGAACGGGCGGCCTAACGAACGGGTGGCCTAACGGGTGGCCTAGCGAACGGGTGGCCTAACGAACGGGTTGCCTAACGAACGGGTTGCCTAACGAACGGGCGGCCTAACGAAGGCGCGGCCTGACGAACAGGTGGACTGACGAACGGATGGACTGACGAACGGGTGGACAGACGAACGGGTGGACAGACGAACGGTCTTGACAAATGGATCCCACAAGGTATCACAGCAAATGTGAATACATGAATATCGTCTTTTCTGCACCCTTTCATAACGTTCGCTATACTATGCCTAAAACAGTACGCAGCTAGTGCTACCAGCGCAATTTGTGTCGCTAGCTCTCACCAGAAAGGTGAGAGGTGTGGAGGGGCTTTCCTGGATTTAGTACACGAGTACGTAAAACTACGGTGAAACGCTCCTTTCTTCCATCATTCGCTTTTGTCTGTTTTGGTAATCCTTTCTTCCTCTAATATCAACCCTCTTTTTGAATGGCCCCTTCTTCAATTGTGACCGTCTTCATTCCACATGAACCACTGCGGACCACTGTTGACCTCGCATTATGGATTCAACAGAAGCCACAGCCTCCTAGAAGGCACGGACGCTTTGTGCGCCCTGGCCCATAAATTAAGTCGCTTCCATTACGAGACCCATATGAAACTTGTATCAATAATTTCTGGGCCCATTTCGCCCCTGGCTGCCCCACGTCCAGCTCCTGATCCTACGGCCGCTGCCGCTTTCGCCTTCTCTTTGCTCCGACCGTGGGCCTTGAACAGACCGGCGCGAAGCAACTGCTCACTACATCTCTTGCACTTGCCTAGCGTTTCTTTATTAGCGATTGCATCGTGTGGCACTACAGACCACTCAGAAGCCTTCGCCCCATAGAGGATTAAAGAGGGGAGGTCATGTGTGTTGTTGACTCCTCTTATTAGGATCATGATGAACATTATTTTAATGTAATCTTCAATATGATTCCAATCGACAGATTATGTCAGAATATTTGTAACAACATTTAATGTTAAAGTATATTTAACATATTTTAAAGGTTGTACCTGACTTCATTCTCAAGCTGTTTATAAAATACACAACAAAAATAGAAGCTCATGTAATTTCTTACTTTTTTATAAATAAATTCCATAAGAGTATTTCTGTTTATTATTTTTTAAATTAATTCATCAATTTCTTAATTTATTCATTTCTAATTTTATTAATGTTTATTAATTTATCGATTTTTTATTAATTTAATAATTTTTATTTTTTTAGTATTTCATTTATTTATTAACGTTAGAAACCAATTTGGTTTGTGGCGTAGTTTTCGAGAGAAGTAAAAGGAGATGGAGAAGCGTCATTTACAGACTACATATATTCATATATACAACAGACAAGCACACACACATACATAACCCACATCCACACACACATAAAGCCCACATATATGTCAATATAATACACAGAGACCTACACATGACATATACATATACGCACACATCACGCATACCTACACGCCCACATAATACATAAATTTGAATATATGTATAAGAGCATACGTGCTTACGTGAATTAGTGCTTACGTACGTTAATGCTTAGGTGCATATGTGATTGGGTGCATGCATGTTTAGATGCTACAGCCATGCTTACATACGCTCTGATGTTTAACGCATCTGATCAGAAAAAGGACCGTTTCACTGTTCTACAAAACGCCAGTGACCTATGTGCTGTGCCACTTCTGCGACAAATACCTACGAATTAATCAATTTATTGACTCGTACGAGTGAGAATTGTTCTGCACACCTTTGAATTTTATCCATACTGTGTCTGACTTTTTCTGTAAAGGTCCCAACAAGCTACTCTACATTCTAAAGTAGGGCGAATAAGAGACTTGTTAGCTAACGCGTTTGGCTTGAACTACCTTCTTGAACAGATTGTAAATTTTTCCACGCTTTTTCCAATACGTATTTTACATGCTTATCCCAGCTGAAATAATTATATAGCTAGCGACCTGCAGTATTACGTGAGAGCCTATCCTCGCAACGATAAGATGTTTCGAGAATTTTTTCAGGCGTGTATATACGATTTCGGCCCTTACTATTGACAGAAAAGAAGGGGGAAATAGAAAAAAATCCTTCGTTTTCTTCGTTTTTTAACAATTTCTTATGTTCTGACAGAGAACAAATAGGGTCAAGTACAATTTTTACTTAGAGTAGAGGAGGCGAAGTCTTGACTTCGAGTAAACGAGACTCCAGAGAGAGTTATCTTGACTCCATCATTTCAATTTGGCCGGCAACTTTCGTCGCCAACTTATACTCGCGACCTGAATTTTGCTATACTTGAGCACGCATAGCAGTCAAGCTCGTGTTAACGCATGGGCCGAAGGGCCCGCCCCAATGTTCATGGGCCTCCGATAGTTCTTAAAACAGTTATTTAATGCTAAATTCTTCAAAAATGTACAATAAAAAACATACAAAAGTTATGTCTGATTAATCTATACGCAAAAAATTGCTGTAGTGGAGCAATCTGTCACGTATCATTGGATAATACTTATCATATGGAATGTTGCTGATTGATGCGAGAATGTCACTCAGTGATGAGAAGTTTAGTTGTTTTTTTAACAGAAATGGTCTTTAAACTAGGATGAAGGGGATGATTGGTGAAAGTAAAAATGGGATCCCCCAAATACGTAGACCTAAAAGTCCACAAAACTTTTAAAACAGCCCGGATTGCAATATCTGACAGCAACGAAGTCTGGAAATACTTCGCGCTCGAGACTGAGCGGTCGCGGCTGCTTCGCCATCATTGCTCGCGCGTCGACGCCGCCGTCTGGCCACATTGGGAGCGCCTCTCACGGCCCGTGCATCTGGCCGCTTTCGAACTTCGCCAAGCCGTCGACCTCCTGAGCCGACACCCGCCCTCCCCCAGAGGCAGCGACCTCCACCCGGCCGGCCCAGACACGCTGCCATCACGGCCCTTGTCATCGCACAAAGCATCGGCTTCATTCACGACGCGGGCCTTGCGTCAACGGGCGCTAACGTCCTCGAGCGGCGACAATCGACTCACGGCCTCAGCAATTGTAAGAGGAGAAATTACATTGTAATCACGAGATGCGCGTAATGGAAGGTTTTGCGATGATGTTGAAACAAAATTATTAGAGACTCATGAAAGGAAATCACCAAGAGATCATTACTGTAAGGCATGTAAATTGTTCTGTTTAATTTAAAATTTAAGTAAGTGCCGGAAACATCGTAGTAGCAGTTGGAGAAAGCATTTAAGAAATAAATAAGTGGACTACTTGTGTGAACTACGTTGAAAGAATTTTATTCAGTAGCTTATGTTGAGCACACTTAATCCCAATCCATTTGAAAACAACCCAGAGAGACCCAGATCCTGAAGGTAATCTCGGCTCGACAGGGAGTTATCCCGTAGAAATAATTCGCATCTTTCGAAATAATTCGCATAACGTTGCCTGAAATATAGGCAAATTTTATACCATTATACAGCGCGCCATGAAAGTCCCTCCGCACCGAGCCGAGTCAGGGGCCGGTACTCGCGCCGCTTCCGCCCTCAGCTTCAGCGCCGTGCGCAGCGCTAGTGTCGCATGGATGCCAACCCCTCCTCCCTTCCCCTGCTTCTCTGCGGTCGCACCGGCCACTGGGGCGCTGCCTTGTGCTCGCGATGCCAACAAATGTTTTGTGAATAGCACTCTCATTGCCATGGTGCAACTGCGGAGGAACATTCCCATTTTCAAAAAATATACATTCCTATTTTTCCCCTTTAAATCTATTCCTCGTAAGTATCAAAAAAAGGTAAAAATGTGGAGTTGGTCTCATTTTCGGACAAACTTGATTAACTTGTATGCCACGTCAGGGGCGGCATCAGAGGCGTTCGGACGACTTTCTTTAACATTGATTTGCAATTTTAGGAAGTATAGGAGGAAATCATGAGCTACGTTATAATCTATAGAAATGAAATAAAGAATTCCATTGGTTGTACATGATTTTCTAATCTCTCGAGCAATCAAAGTAGTGCTTTTCCGTAAAATCTTTATTTTTCTTTTCTAAAAGTATTTAATTTATATACTACGGGGAACATCTTGGATTTGATATTTTACATCATATTATGGATCTTTTATTAATATCAGAAGTCTGGCAAGATACGGAATACAAGTACAGTAGAACAGTAATTACATAATGACGTATAGATATAGTGCTAGAAAACTGAAATCGGTAGAAAGACATCGGCAGCATCTCACTTACCAGTCTTTGGAGAGCGTGTGGCGGGACTGGGCGCTGGGCCGCGCCCTGTGAGTCAGCAAGAGCACAGAAGGAAAATGGTCGGGGTTGGATTAGCAGGGTTGAAGAGATAACCTTGGACACATGTGAGTTCAAACATTGGTTGGGTGATGGTCATGGCGAGGGGGTTGGGGCTTTGTTTGGGACAAGGTGAGGGGCTGCTGCAGTGCCTAGGCCTTCGAGAGGTCCAGGGCCTCCTCCTGCTCAGGGGCCTGAGCGAGGTTCAGAGGCTGGTGCAATGCAGGCCTTACAGTCGTGTGCGGATGAGGGAGGGGGTGAGAGTAGGCGTGCGGGCGAGTTTGAGGGTGGGTCTGAAGCCGGGTTTCATGGGTTTGAGGATGGATTTGAGGGTGGGATTGAAGTTGGAGTTGAGGGTGGAGTTGAGGGTGGATTTGAGGATGTATTTCAGGGTGAGTTTGAGGATGCATTTGAGGATGTGTTTGTGGGTGGGATTGAGGGTGGGTTTGATGAAGAATTTGAGGCTGGATTTGCGGCTGGATTTGAGGATAGATTTGAGGCTGGATTTG